GCTTGGAAACTGATGAAATTTCGTCAGATTCCTAGTGACTTAGAGTTGAGCTTTTGGTAAAAGTGAATGACGCATGTCCTAGAGAAATGACAGTGCTGGAAATACATCATTTCCTAAGCTTGACTTGTGTCATGACTTAAGTAAGTCAGCAGCTGTGGGGCTTGGGAGGATTTCTTTTCTCTTTAAGCATACAAAGTTCTAACTAAATTGAAGCCCAAACATTTGTTTTAAATGGTGGGAATTCTCAAAAAGCTTTAATACTGTTGTTGAGCAGCTTGGTTAAAGTTAGTTTACATTCAGGATAATTTAATCATTTTTGAAGCCTCTTTTTCAGTGGCATCTTTTTGACACTTCCACATTGGTCTTGTTTTTCTTATTGTGGTTTTAAGATAATTTCTACCTTAACATACTGACTTCTATCATTTTAAAGTCTTTTATAGAATTTCAGATTGTGGGGATGACTTTATTCTCCTTGCACAACAGAAATTATTTTTGAAAACCATTTGGGCTGTGATGCATTTAATACCTGTAAAATTTGGTCTTAAGCTGAAATGTGCTTTCCTGTTCCTTTTTCTTATGTGGAAAGTGGAATCTGCTACAATTATGCTAGTAAGTCTGTGTTGTCACATGGAAAAGGCTTGAAACCAGGGACATTTGACCTAGAGAACTGGTGGTAGCTCTCACCTTTCTTTTCTTGCTAATGGCTGGGGATTGGGGCAGCAGCTTCTCTTTATGCCCTCTCTTGGGGAATTGCCCTTTTAAAAGGACTTGCCTGCTTTAGATAATGAAGGGAGCTAAGGATCACAAGAGGTAAATCCTATAATTTTGTATTTCCTTTGAAAGGTCATTTGGAGCAGCACACTGTTTCCAGCGAGATCATGCCTGAACTTGTTCTGCTAAGAATAGAAAAGGAAAAAAAAAAAGTAACATTGGTGGCTTTTATACGTGGTTGGCATATCTATTTGCGAACAAGCCCTAATGTGATAAGCTGTACTAGGCAAAAGCACCTCCCTGGAGAAGCCAAGCATACTTCCAGCTGTTGCATTTTGAATCACTTTCTCGTTGAATTTCACAGGTTAGCTTAGCATGAAGGTAGAAGATGCTGGAGGCTGCCAGTGTGGTGGGAAGTACCGCTAACGTGTCAGGCTGCAGTAGGTGGAGCTCTCTCCGCGTCGGTGCAGGATGAGGGAGCTCATGAACCTGTAGCTGTGTCTTATTGGACTGCCTCGAAACTTGCCAGCCCAGGTGTTACCCTGATGGACTTGCTTATCTGATAGAACTGAAGATAACGTACTGTGATAGGCAAAGGATTGCTTCTCAAGAAAAAATGTCTTTGCTCTGAGCGAGTGGAAATTTGCAAAGCTTTGTAAAGGAGCAGATTTCTACCTAAGGGATGTAAAATTAGGTCCTAAAAAGTCTGGGCTTTGAAATCTTTCACAGTATTCTTTGCAATGGTATAACAGTGGTGCTTCGCATCCAGTTTAGGAAATAGCTCTACTTTCAGAGCAGAGTTCTGCTCTCTTCCTCTTTGTGAAGTAGATAGTACAGCCGGAGTCTCACAGTTACTGCTGCCCGCTGGCTGATGAGTCAGATGAAATAATCTCCCTCCCTGTCTCTACACTGCACTGTTTCTTGATCGCAGAGGCAGAGCTGCTCTCAGCATGGCAGTAAACCTACTCTCCCCTGAAAAGAGGTATTGCCTGGGTTTTGAAAGGCTAAGTTGGAAACTGGAGAACATTGAGCTTAAAATACAAACTAAACCCGTGTCCATTTTCCAGACATCTATGCAATTTTTTCTTTGTATTGCCTGTTCATTTGAGGGCTTTATCTAATTAATTTATTCTGGCCTGCTGTTCTGCAAACCATCGAGCAACTCATGGATCACTTGCCTCACCTATATAATGTTTCACTCTGATGGCTCCATATCAAGTCTTAATTAGTCCTTGTCTGGCTAATCTCTGCATGAATTGGCTGGCCCGGGGTGCCACTTTTGTCCAAGACCTCTGCAGCTACAGGAAAATGAAGAGCTGTATTTGGGTAAGTGCAGTGGCCAAACCACACCCTGTGCTGCAGGAGGAGGTGAAAAAAAAAATACAGGGCCAGACCCCCAGAGAAAATGATTCTTGACCTGAAATCTTGCAGTCAATCCAGTTCCAAGAACAAGAGCAAAAGAGTTTTTAAGTGTATCCTCTGTATTCTTTGAAACCACCAGTCGCACCCCTCCATGTGCAGCTCCAGTCAGTGATTCTTCCAGTGTGCAGCTCTGTGATTCTTCCAGTTCAGAGGGAGAGAGAGCATATCGAACTTTCTAGATACTGCAACAAACAATGTCTTGAGCCACGTAGACAAATCATTGATCCCTGAAGAACCAGGCAGGTATAAGTGTGTTACAAGCAGAGTAAATGATTCTTTTCTGCTGCCTCTCATGAAGGATGAGAAGAAATGCAATGACTAACATTCACATTTTTCAAATGACTGTCCAGCTGAATGCCTTGCAAAGAGAAGCTATAGAGGGAAGGGGGCGTAAAAAGCTGTATTAAAGCATATCTTTTCCTACTAGATGACAATCCATAGTGTCTAGGTGTCTTGTGTTGTTCGTCTGAATGTTTTGGAGATCTGACAAGTACTGTCCAACAGCGGCCTTGTGTGTTTGATGATGATATGGGTCTGGTCTGGTGGGGTTTTTACTAGTCTCTGAGCCCTGTTAACACTGGTCAATTTTGAGGAATTACTGAGTCTCCTGTAGAGAATTAAATTGAGAAAACAGGATAACTTGGTTGGCACATTTGTCTCTGTGAGGGTTAAGCACCCCAGTTTGGAATGAGTACGTGGCTTATAAATAGATTCCTCTTTCACAAAATGCAAAACAGTCTCTGTTTCACAGGACAGCGGGAACCAAAAACAAGCCCCAGAATGAACGAGTGCTAGAACTGCAGAGCTGATACGCTGTGCAGGCCCACCTTTGGAAGTTACTGAGATAGACACCCTGAAGCTTTCAGGTGAAAGGATGCTGAGGTTTGAATTGCAGCGTATGTCAAAAACTTGCTAAGAGAAATACTGCATTTGTATAAAAATTATTTTTGCAGACTAAGTATTTCTGGCATTTAGTAGTGTCCCAATAAGTGATCTGCTGCTCTGCCTTTGCAGTATAATGCTTTCCTATAGCATGTTCTATAGCATTCAAAATAAGCATTATCATGCTATAAATAAGATTGGGCAAGCCTTGAAGCAAAATGATCGGGTCTCTGGAGCCTACACTCTGTAATTTCTTAAAGACCTGTTTCGGTCCACAGATAAAAGAAGTGGCTGAGAACAAGAGGGTGACAGCGGTGTGATAGTGCAGTGACTCAATTCAAAATGTCATGGTGCGTGTTAGCGCTGGAGTTTGCTGGGGGAGTGCTAACATCGTTGTTGCAGCAATCCTGAACTCCTCATGGCTTTGCTGGTCAAATACTTCGCCAGATTACTCTGCCTTGCAGCCTGTGCTGAGCTCAGTGCTGCTGCAGCGATACTGTTATCAGTACCAAAGTTAGCTGCTTTGAAGGTAGTCAAGATATACTGAGATGAGCTGCAAGCACACCTTTGATCGTCATGTAGATGTAGTCATAATGAATCTTATTTTCTGATCACAGATATGCTAATAGTAGTTTTTTTAGGAAGATATTGTTTGGATCAGAGGATGCTGGAGACTTGGCAGAGTGTGGAAAGCATTTTGTGCTCCTGCTGGGACACAATATAATCCGTCAAATCACAAAAAAATGTGTCCTGAGTTTAAGTAAATGAGTAGTTCTGCAGCATTCCATGAGACCATTTGAATATTTACATGAATTAAGACATAGTAGTTAATACTTTGCAGGATTGAGCAAGTAACAATGTACACAAATATCAGTTACGCTTATCAGCGGAATATGCAAAGCAGGTATCAAGGATGATGATATTTTACCGTTATCTAATTGTTTTGGCATGGCTACCATAGTTGATAGCAACAGGATCATGGAGGTCTCAAAGAAAAACCTGGCGGAGGGTTTTCTAAGGAAAACTTCTGAAATGAGCCCACGAGTCAGTTGCTTCCTCCCATGCTGTCTCCCAGCTGCTCCTCTGTTACGATATTCCTCGTTTGTCAGATCTTAATTAGTAACTGAATCATACGCAGAGAAGATGGCAGAGAGAGCCACAGGGACCTTTGGTGTTTTGCCTTCCCCTACGTCTGTTTGTTGGGAGACCTGCAGTTTAAATCTGCGTGGTAGGATGAAGTTACCCTGTACGTATTACAGCTGTGATTTGTAATCCTTATTTGCTATTCAGGTTTTGTTTTGGCTATAACAGTTTACATATTCTACTCGGAAAAATGCATGCTCTTGAGGTTTGAGTTCAGATGAATCTACTAAGTTACACAAGAACAAAATTAAAATAAAATTAAAAAATCAAAATACTTTAGAAAGGAAAAAAAGTACTTCTGGGTCCTTGCCTTTTGGTAACTCAGAAATTATTAGACTGCTAGTCCTGCCAGATAAAGGGAATTGTTTTCTGGTGGAACAGAAAAACAGATTATCATTAGATTAAATTATTAGATTAAGTAAGAATATTTTTGAGCACTTTGGGGGGCATAGTGTTTTTGATTCGTGGTGTAGTGATTTTTGGAGGGTTTTTTTTTTGTGAGGGCTGTGTCAGATCAAATAACATTAACAGCACATAGCTATAGCTTTTCTTTACAATGATCTATACACTATGGCAAAAGAGACTTCTGTCAGGATAAAATTTCTGTTGCACAGAGCAGTGCGCAGAAGTCAGAAGGTTCCATGATCTCGCTTAATCATGGGAAAGCAACTTGTACCTATCTCCTGCCATGCAGGAAAAAACACATGAGAGAGGGCAGGCATTCTCTCATTTGGAAAACACCACTGGTATTGCACTTCTGATTGCAAAAGTTGACTGGCAAAAGGACAGAGGGAGCAAGCAGAGATGGCAAATCTCTCGTTAATTCTATTTCCCTTTTGCAGCTGATGAGGAACACCAGCAAAATGTGGCAGCAGCAGCAGTGGCCAGGCCTCGGCCCCAGGCTGAAGAGCGAGGAGATGGGATGCCAAGGCGCCGGAGAAACATGGGAAACCGGATGATGGCCCAGAGGAGAGCACAGCAGGCGGAAGACTGGGTGGAAGGTAACGTTTGGTTCAGTTCATCTTGCAAACATTGAAACGGACCTTAACAGCAGACGTTAAGGTTGGTGAAGGGGTGCAGTTGGCTTCTGAGGAAAGTTCTTCAGTTTTACTGACTGTGAATTATTTACAGCTTGACTATAATCTAGTTCACTGTCCAACTTCTCTCCATGCTTCATCACTTATCTCTTGACACCGGTTCATCTTACAAACATTGAAACAGACCTTAACCTTAACTGAAGTGTGTACCTCCTTCTGTGGTGAATTCTTGCAGTTTGTTGTGCCAACTGTGCATCTCAACATATTCTTCATTTATTTCCTAGAAACTGCCTTTCGTATTTCCTGCTTAGCCATGCAGGTTAAATTTGGGCAAACAGAATCCGCACCTTGCACTAGAATAACGAGCTGTAGTAAAGTATTGGTTTCTTGCAAATCGGTGGGAAGCATTAATTCCCGAATGTAATCTCTGCAAAATCTGGAGTTTTCTTTCTGAGAAGCCATCCAGATGGTGATCAGATCAAGCCGATTAGCTGGAGATCACCACAGACTGCAGCGTTTTGTCTTACTGCCAGCAGGTTGTTGACAACGAGTCCTCTGTTCCTGTGCTGGATCTACAGTTAATTGCTGTACTTCTGTGGTGTGGCTGCAGACAAGAATATGGTGATAAATAACATCTTTCTACACCCTGTAAGCCTCACTCCCTTTTCTGGTGAAACTTCACACATTATCATCTTTAGTGCTAATGATTCACCTAACTGGATCCCTTCTACTTTCAGATTGTGGGTTAAGCGTTCAGGGTTTCTGTTCAAGCATTGATAAAAGTGGGCTTTGCTTCACTTGAGTTTGCAGTGGAGATCAAGATGTCCTTTTGGTCTGCAGTAGATGAGAAACACAAGGTGTGATGCCTTGATTAGGGGCTAGTTGCACTTTCTTCAGCTTTTCTTGTCTTGAGCAGTTTGCAGAAAGTGTCTTGTGCTCACGTTGGCAGGTAAACGTGCTTTTCCAGCTAATTATGTTCAACAGTTTCACAAATGGAAAATTGACAGCTCTGAACTTTTCAACTTTGGTTATTTCTTTTCATGTGATAACATCCCGGAAAGAAAATGTTATCTAAAAATCTTTCGCCTTAAACTCCAGACATCAAAAGTTTGAATGCCGAAGGCCAACAGTGAAGCTGTCAAAGCAAACGGCTTATCTTACTTTGTCACTTTAGCAGTTGAAGAATCTGTGTCATTGGGCTTTATAAATAATTCTTTTGCAGCTTACTGTACATCAGATGCAAATGCTGCGGCTCTTGCATGAAGTTTTCTTTGAAATGACATCCCCGTTTTATTTGCTTTTTTAAATTTCTTTTTCAAATTAAAACAACTTCTTGCTCCCTGCTTCTGTTTTGTGCTTCTGTATGTGTTTTGATTCATATTTTGGGATGGTCTTTCCAAGTGCCTGAGCACGGGTACACAACAGTAACACCAAAGCCTTTGGAGACTGAGGATAGACTCCAACAGTATAGCTGAGAAGAGAGGCATCTTATCCCTGGTTTCCCAGCGTTGAGGTGTGCAATGACTAGTGGCCATTATTACTTGGGATTAGCCCCGACTCTGTCATGGACTGTCTGCATCTGTGCTGCAAAGCCTTTAGCCTGGCCATGAGCTACCTATATTAGTGTGGAGGTTGGTTTTGTTTTGTTTTTTTTCACCTTAAGGAAGGATGTGTTACGTGCTTTGAAGCCCAGTTGGTGGACGTATAGCATACGTCTGGAATCACTTTTGGATTTGTATCCTTTGTGCAGGGGCCATGTGCATTTTCTCTGTCTCGTTGCAATATAGAGCGCTTTTGTCTAAGTACTGCCTTCATTTGAACCTCTTGAAATAGCAAGTTATCCCCACAGCGAAGGTTTGTGTTATAAAAATTAGTTGACTCACGTGGAAAGAGAGCCCAGAATGCATGCAGTGATCTACAGTGCCAGGCAATGCAGGATCAGTTGGGGCACCCAGGACTGAAGAGCAAAGTTATTTGGCAATGTAGACAGAAACACTGAAAACAAGGCAGTCTGGTTTCTTCAGTCTTGACTTGTAAATGTTCTTGTTGCTTTAGAAGGCTTCTGAACATCTGTAACTGAAGTGGATTTTTTTTTCATTGTTAAATTTGTTGAAACATTTTACTAGTAAGTTTCTGTTCTGTGTGTGGAATTTCCACTCTGGGCCTGTGTTTAGCTTTGGGCAAAGCTACCTGATCCTGCTCTGTGTCACTCTGACTTCTGCCACAGGTTGGTGCAGGCATAACGCCAACCCATCGCTGCAAGGTATCTAGCACTGAACTCAGGAAGGGTGTGAGGATGCCCTGGCCATATCTGTGTTACCGTTGCAGACATAGAAGTGGAGTCAGGTAGGAACTGCTGTTATCACCAAAATATTCTGCCTGTTGGGAGCCAGTTCTGCTGACTCTAGGAAGGGGTCTCAAAGCAACACTTGCAGGCTTTGGAGTTGTGGTTAGCATCAGGGTTTTCTGTTTTCCATCTAACAATCAGATTTCAATTCCAGAATGAGAAAGAAAGCTTCAAAGGTAAAATGGTAGCCCACGGTTTCTGCTGCCTGTGCTAAGTTGTTGTATCATGCCAGTACTCAAATCGCTTGCAGAATAATGGTGGAGGGGGGGGGAAACAAAACAAGTTTTGGCACTAGGATCAGAACCTTGGTAACTTTTAATTGTCCTTTCTGTAGTTGAAATCTTAATCTTATTTACTTGCAAGTCTGGATAAGGAATCGTTTAATACAGACAAGGATGGTAAATGATTGTTTTGAAAACTCAAATCTACACCTATTGCCAGTGGAGCTATAACCAGGTTGTAATTCTTCCTTTAGATCAGTGGGGTGGGGTGAGACACCTAAAATACTTGCAGATTGCCACAGACAGAAAAATAAACGGTGAAGCACTAAAGGCCTCGACTTTCCTACCAGAATTACAACCCACACAGCGTACGTAGGTTCCTTATTCACGGGTTCCATGTGGGCTGCGCTGTGCTGTGGGGGCAGGCCCGCTAGCCGGGTGCCTACACTGGCTTGGTTTGCCTGAGTAATGTTTTTCAGTGGTTAGTTGAGTACTCAAAGGAGGTCATCTGTTATGAGAATATCGACATCTATTAATATCCTCTGATGACCAAATATTGCTGGGGAGATTTTTTTCATTGGTGACAAAGTAATTCTCAAAATGACTGAGACCCCTGAGCTGTGTTCCACCAGCGTGACTTCCAGACTGGCTTTAGAAAAATGGGTTTGGTTGGCTTAGATTGCCCAACTTAATTCTAGTCATAACATTACTGTCTTTCTTGCAGCCCAATGCAATCTAGGCGACTGTTGTTAAAGTCTCTGTGCCTCGGAGGACATCTGCTCTGCACATTGTAGCAGGGTGCCTATGCCTTTCCCTGTGGAAAATGAGTCTGGAAGGAGAGTTCTGTATTCATGTGGTTAGGTTGCTTCTGATAACCCAGCTAGCAGACTTCATTAGCTGTATTGTATCTTAAATTGAACCCAGACAGAAGTGGCTTTGTGGGGCTAGCTACAGCCAAGATGAAAATAAACTCACTGCAAGGCATAAATGTGTGCGGATTTAAGGCATTAATCATTTAGGGCAGGAGAGGCCAAGCAAAGCAGTGGAAGGAAGCAGGGGAAAGGGGATAAATTGGAGTTGGGTTGCGAGTTGTTTGGGGCATGGGGTAGTGTGAGTAAATAGCATTAGTCATTTTCCAATTTCAGATCCCATTTATTTATTGACTGAGGAGAGTGTCTTTGGCTCTTGTTTTTGCCTGATGCTCTGAGTGCATCCACTTGGACTTTGATCACCTTTGGGTACATGTAAAGATGTTTTGTTGAGAGCTTTTGTTTGGTTGCTGGTCATATGCAGAAAAAGCAGTTGTCCAGTTCTTGAGTCGAGCTTGTGCTTCCAAACCTGCTCGTTGTGCCTTGAACACTGCAAAGAGCTCTGCGGTGAAGACAACCTCACTTAAGACTAAATTTTTTGCTTCTTGGAGCAGAAAGTGACCCAGGCAATCTGATGTTCGCATGAAAGTTTTAGTACTGTAATTTCCTATCAAGTGACAAGAAACTCGTGGGGACGAACAACGGCAAGTATGGTTGGGTCATCTTGATCCTGCTGTGGTAAAAATAACAAGGATGATGATCTGAGGCAAATATCTGTTTGCTTGAAGGGCTGTTATACATTATTTCCGACAGTAACTTTGAACAAACATGTAGCGAGAAAACCTGCCTGCCTCAGCACGCGATACAAAGAGTTTGTGGAGAGACAGAGGCATGCACCGGCAAAGTGCCTTTTCCAGGGTTGTTCAGTCAGTTGATGAGTAGGACGCAGGTTTTGCAGTCCAGGTTTTCTATCACTTGGAGTGGTGTCTTGGACCAAAACTTGCTGCTGTTGACTTGAGTGGGTGGCATTTTTGTTGGCTGAAACTGGTGGGTGTCACCACGCCATGATTTAAGATAGTTACAAAGAAATAGACTTCTGTAAGAGACGATAGTGATCTCCAAACCACCTAGCAAAACAAAGACCACTGGGCAACCCTCTGGGTGAAAGGCTTAGGTGGGTGTCCTGAGCAAGGCTGAGCTAGATAAAGAAGCGAGGCAAAAGAGAAGGACGTGGCAGGAGAGCCTAAGAAACCCAATAGATTTCCAGGGAATACTTTCAAGGGTTTAATTTTGGAAGGTGCTCACTTCCACATCCTACAAACAAATGACCTCTCAGACTTGTTGCAGAAAGTGTTGCTAAAAAATGGGATTTTGCGTGGATTATTACATTTTGATTTTATTTTTTTTTTCCCTTAACAAACAGAAAGTAAGGACTGCATCAAAGAAAGAATCTGGTTTTATCAAAAGTCTTTATTCCAAACTGGAACAAGCTACAGGGTCTCTACTTTTAGCAGCAGCATATAACTCCAGAAGGTTAAATATCCCAACATCTGCATGCCTTTTCTCTGACCTTTTAGCCCTGTACATGTGAGCACAGGTCTTAGGAACATCCAGTACAGTGAACATTGGGCTAAATTTACTTTATTTACACAGAATGATAAAGTGAACAGTTTTTGACAGTCTGAGTGCTCTAGCTTGTGAAATAAAAAATTATAACAAGAAGTTAACGGTTCAACATAAATCAAATCATATGTTCATCTCCTCTTTTGCCTGGCAAGACTTGGAGATCAGAATCTCATATATTTGGGCATTTTAAAATGCTCATTATTGCTTTATGTAGCTTCTAAGTCCAACATTCAAATCTTGCATCTGAAAAAATCTTGTGTGAGTGTGTTCTGCTAGTTTTGGGGGGAAGAAAAAAATATAAAAAATAACTACAATTTTTTATCCCCATTCAAGTGATGGATACTGTGCATAAGTTAAAGTGAAGAATGTGTTTGTGCTGAAATTTGGATCTGGAAAATGCATAAACTTAGAAACACTGGTGTGGTCCCATGCTGTTCTTGTGAAACAGCTCGTAATAGAGCTGTATTAATTGATGTAGTAGTTGAAATAATTTTAATGCTTAATCAGTAGAAAACCTTTCTAGTAGAGTTAAACTTTGACTACTAATATCCTAAGTAGTGAATCAAAAGTTAATTTTGACTTGCTACTATTCATATAGAAAGAAACTTTAGTATTATCAAAGTATCCACAATGTGTGTCTGCCCTTGAGACATTTCAAGCGCAGATGGTGTGTGGAAGAGGTAGGTGTGTGGTTTCTCAGTTATGCCATATGGCTTTATTCGAGAAAAAACTTCAAGCCATTTGACTTCTGCTCAAAAGGGCTAATGTCCTTTGTTTGCTGTCCTTTTTCTGTCCTAAGGGTAGACTGATTTTGTGGCTAGAGATTAATAAGCCAACATCTTGTTCAGTTCCTAAATGGGATAGGTACGAAATTTAAAAAAAAAAAAACATTGTTATGATTGTACCACCGCAGGGCTGTATTACTCATGAATGCCCACACCTTTCCATATGGTGGACTGATTCCTTTCCAGTGGCTGTTGTCATACATCTATTGAATGCTAATAACACGCATATGTCTTCTGCCTTCAGGATGAACTGTTTGTTTTGCCTGGCATCTTCCCCCCCTTTCTCTTACTCCTTTTGTTAGGTGCTGCATAAATAGTAAATAAAGTAGCTTGATGTGCCCAAAGGACTTTTTGTGAGTAGCCACATGTGCAGCTTGCATCCTTTTTCGTGGAGGGGAATCTATTTGCTTCAATTCCAAAACTTAAGAGGAAGCAAGAGGACCCTTTGATGTAGATGACAAGGGCAACTAAAATATATGATGTGGGCTGTTTTGTTTGGAGCTTTTGCATATTTTGTACACAGCAGCTGGTAAATTCCTGTCCTGATAGAAAATATCAGCATTCCAGCACACTTTCTAATGGTATTGGGAAGTATTTTTAAAAGTACTCTGTAAATTTCAAGAGATTCAAACACCTGTGTGACTGTTAACTGTTTCCTGTTGTCCTGCCTCTCCGTATGTTCAAAACAGTAAGGAAGAGCTAAGATTCCCTGAAGCTACCTCTCAGCTGGCTAGCTGAGCAAAACCCGTGTTTGTGTAAAACAGAATATGTAAAGTGGTGTGAAAGCGTCACTGTAAGTCAGACTATTTCTGCTTTCTGTCTCTTAGAGCTGATGCTGGTGGGAATGCTTTACAAGCTCCGGAAACGTTGATATAGTTACGCTGGACTCTGTAAAGATGGACCAGGGTTGCGAGTGTGGTTGAAAGGAGTCCCGTTGTGTCACAGGTGTTCAGGTGAAGTGGGTCCTGTGCGCCTCGATGTTTGGTGTACTTTATCAGCACCGTGTCCTGAAGTGGGAGCAGGACTTCTGTGTCCTGTGGTACTATGAGCAGTTAGGGAAACTCAGTACTGAAAAACTGCTTGCGTCAAGTTTGGAGCACTTAAACTTCTCTCCCTTTCCTGCCACAACCCTACGTACATCCCGGAACTGCCACGTTTGAAGACATCAAATAAACTGTTGTTTGGTGTACTTTATCAGCACCGTGTCCTGAAGTGGGAGCAGGACTTCTGTGTCCTGTGGTACTATGAGCAGTTAGGGAAACTCAGTACTGAAAAACTGCTTGCGTCAAGTTTGGAGCACTTAAACTTCTCTCCCTTTCCTGCCACAACCCTACGTACATCCCGGAACTGCCACGTTTGAAGACATCAAATAAACTGTACAAAGCACCATAGAAGATCAGCCTTCAAATAAAAATGCATTTTCAGCTTCAACTACACGATGACGTCTGTTGTTGTTAGGTTTCCCAACCGAGTATGTATGCAGGCTGGCCAACCCTAGTGCTTTGGGTGCTGATAAACTGCTTTTACAACAAGTGAGCACAATTAACTGAACATCTTGCATCACATGTGAAGCACAGGGGTAGATGGAGTGCATGTTCCTATGGACTGACCTCCCTATCAGGTCGATTAGTGTTGGCAACTATGAGTATGTGAAAAGTGATTGTTAAAAGCTGCTGAAACAGTAGCTTCTTTATTTAAAAAAAAAAAAAAAATTCTCACTGGCTATGTGCAGCATCCACTCTGCTTTTGGTAGAGTTATTCTGCTCTAATCAATTGATTCAGCAAATCTTTTTACCATATGCTTATATTTTTTTGTCAGCATGTTCAGATTTATTTAGCCCATGTTAATTGCACCCAGGTTTAGTGCATTGTTGACCCTTAAAGCTCTGCTGAATCATGGGCTGCATCTGCATCACTGTCTCTCTTTTTTTGTTGGATGTAACTCCGTACACTAGAACAAGCTTGGAGGAAGTGGTACTTGAGGGACCACATCAGATGCTTCAAATGGGAGGAAAGCAAATACTACTGAAAAAAAGCATGTTTGATCCAGGACTGGAAAAAGGCTTTGAAAGCCTTTCTAGACTTCGGATACTCTTAATACAGATGAAATCCAAGAAGCACTCGGAGCCTCAGGTTGAATAGTGTTGTAGATGGTGTTTTATACTTCTGGTGTTTTCCAAAAGTAATTTTCTAAAGAATGATACCAGTATTGAACTGTTAATTTTGGAGTGATAACTGCTAATGCTGGGTTGCTCACCCATTGTGTTTGGAACTCCCCTTGGCCCAGTATTTAAAATATAAATAAAGTTATTTTAAGCTTCAGCAAAATTGTAGAAGCAACTGTGTCAAGTCTGAGTGTCCCCTGTTGCTCTCTTTGTTTGTGGTGTAGGAAGGGGGAACCCTTTTGATCATCTCAGTAATCAGATACCAGTGATTCTCTGAAGCCCAGTTCAGCAAGTCTGCCTCATATAAACTTCCATATCCTGAAAACAGCTAAGTTATTTGAGAGCCACCTACACAGCTCTCAGTTACATTTGTTTTTGATGATGTGTCTCAGTGGCTTAACCATAGTACCGTACTGTGTATTGGAATTAGTAAAACAAGAGTGTTTCAAACCTAATTCTACATATAAAAGAAGGGTGAGTCTCGTTCATCCCTGTGCTCCTTTAATAGCAGCTCTTTGGGCTCCCAGAAAAGGAGAGAGCTCCCTACAGAAAATGTCCTGCTGCCAGCCTTGCCAAACCAATGCTGCTCATTGCCACGCAACGGTCAGCTCCAGCTCCTGCCACAGGCTCTCGTGAAATGAGTTGTCAAACACGACAGGCTTTTTCTTCTTGTTAGCCCCATCTTAGAAACCGAAGGCTCAGGGCTTGTGCGAGTGGGAAATTGTTTTTCTTCCCCCCAGTTATGAGGGCTAAAACATAGCTGAGGAAGAACTTCGCCTCCACGCTTCTGCCCTTCTCCCTCCCTAAATAAACACTGCATGTCAAGAAATCGCAGGAGCTGGCAGTGCCATTCTTCAGATTACCCAACGGACTTCAAGTGTGTGGATCTGAAGTCAGCATCAAGCATAACAGCACTGTGGATGCTCAAAGTATAAATTATTTTACCCAAAAAAGGGATCCATGTAATAAAGATCTTTCATTTTGATGCTGCCATTTGTTTCAGATCCTTGAATCTCTATATATTGTGTAGTGTTTCATGAAGTGAGCTGATGCTTTCTCTTTGAGTGTTGAGGTCAGTCTGCGATAGGATCAAGGACTAATTTAGACTGGCAAATAAAGTGGTCAGATGTTCATGAGACATTGGTTTGAGGGAGAGGGGAGGAAATGGCAGTCTTTAAAAGCTCTTTAGTCTTACTTAGCCCCCGAATGAGCAGAAATATAATGCATTTGCACACCGTTTGAGAATTTGAGCTTTCATTTTTCACAGTTGCAGAAATCGTCTTTACAAACAACCAGTTGTCATAAAACAGGGAACTATTTACATGTCATTTTATTGCAGTCAAGCCCAAGATTTGCATTGCAGGGATTTTTTGGGTTATTTTTCCACCTCCCTTAAAGGTTAATTCTGTCAGGCTAGAACTAGTGGATGAGCGGAGTGCCTCTGAATTCCACTTTTTGAATGGATGTCTGTTGTGCTAAGCTTAAAGGTAACTGGGAAGAAAGGCTCTGCAGGTGGGTGTTAAGCAGTTATATAGTGACAACCATTACCACATTTTACATATAAGAGAAAGTACATATTTTTATTGTGGAATGCAGGACGTGTTTATGAGAAGCCTTCCTTCAAAAGAGCAAGTCAGTTTTTACCTCTGGCTTCACTTGAGTGTGTGTTTGCCTTGCTACTTCTGCTCTGTGGCTTTGGCAGTCCCGTGTGATTTTTTTTTTTTTTTGCGTTTTTCCATCTGACAGGTCTTGTCTGAAATGTATGTGTGTCTACTTTTCATCTGCGTCTGCTTTCCTAGGAAGCAGTAAAGTTTCTCGAAGGGACTTTTACAGATGATTTAAAATTTATTGTTTACTCTTTAACACAATGTTGCAGAGGAAGATGATGCTGAGGAGGTGCCAGAATTTCAGGTGTCTGGGAAAATTGGAGCAAAGAAGCAGAGGAAATTAGAAGAGAAACAAGCCAGAAAAGCACAGAGGGAGGTAAGTGTTTCCTGCCACGTATGGAGCCTAGAGCAGAACTTGAATAGCAGTACTCAGCAAAGAACTGGTGATGACAGATACTCTAGAAAGGCAAAAGCGGTGTCATCACTAACATCACTGCAATGGTTGTTTTTTTGTTTTGAAAATGTAAATTCAGCTTTTTATGTTGTATCCCAAGAGGCCCATGGAAAATGGTGTCTCATTTTCTTTCCATTAGGTTCTCTGGCATTCTCATGGGGAGGAGAGAGGAGTCAAACTCTTGAATGCTCTTTATTGGATGTTTCCACTGGCTTGCAGCTTAATGTCAGTACTGTCTCCCCTTAAAAATACGCTCAAGCCCACATAGCACTGTTAACACTGGGTCTGTGACCAAAATCGTGGGCAGTCCCGAGCAGTGTTTCATGTGCTGTCATAGTTAAAAAACTTTGTGTGGGTTTATCTGTGTTTAGCCGTGTTTATTGTTTTTCTGGATTGGGGAAGATGAAAAGCAGATCTTGTAATCCACTGAGACATCTGATGCAGTCAGATTTTGGTTGAAGTTTGGCCCTTAAACAGAGACCAAGTATGCAGAATGAACACACTGTAGCTTTTCAGTTGTTCTTTCTTAAATCTATATGCAAAAGTACTTACTTAAATACTGTTACATTTTTTCAGTTTTGCCCAGCCTGTTGCTGTTAATTCCAGGGAAGCAACAGGCTTTTTGAAACTTACTTTCTGAAGTGTGCTGGTGGATGGCAGCAGGTTATGCATTAATTCCTTTTAGTTGTTCAATATTTTTTTTTGCAAACTCTGTATTGTTCTGTAACTTGGAACGTGGGCTTGCAAGAAGTAGATAAAACTTAAACAGCCTTTGCATAACAGAGGCTGGAGTGCACGGTGGATTTCACACATTTTACAAAAGACGGGGTTTGTGAAACTACTAGCATTTCTAATGTGTAGAGACTCCAAACAAAGCCAGTGAAATCTCATCTTGAGAATGTTAGTGCCACCTGAGGTTTAAATCCAGTTTCTGCTTTACACCGTAATGGTACGCCCTGTAGATAGAGTGGTTGGCAATAAACGTGATTATTATGTTATATATAAACTTCCATTACGATCCTTTTCTCACTCTATGCTTTAACCATTTTGTCATTACTTTCCATATTCGTTCTATTTAATTAGCCTCTTTTTCGTGGAAAATTTGAGCAAAGTTGAATGAAGTTAGATAAGCATCGGTTGGTGGAGTAAGGAATCTTTTGTTTCATTTTAAAACATGCTGATTTTTATTTTCCCATGTAGACAGATAAATTCCTCAGTCAAGTCTTTTTCTCTGAAACATTTAAAGCCACAAATCCTCCATTTTAATGTCTTCTGCTTGTTCTCTTAATATATTTTCAAATTTAAGTATACTGAAGAGACTGAAGAACAACTTAAAAAAATCTCTACACAATACACTAAATGCCCTTTTTATTTTCCCCCCATTTTGCAACAATTTCTTTGCTAGGTTTGGTTTAAAAACAAGTAATAAAATTATTTGAAGAGAGGAGTACAACTTTTTTCTGTAAGAGATTCTGCCCAGGTTAATAATGAATTTGAATGTACTTGGGTTTACAAAGTGTATATTGCCCTCTCCTTTTTTTTTACCGTCCTTAGAGTCCATTCTAACTCAGTTTTAAGTGAGGAGAAATGGAATGCCATGACACAATATTACTTAATATCACTATAGTAATAAGCTCATATGTATTTACCAAACTTAAACCCTTGTTGAGATACAGGTAATGCATCCATACTTATCGTAATGTTAAGTCTGCTGAAGATTTGGGGGGGGGTGTGTGTGTAATTAAATGATAATGACTTCTTTTTCTTACTCTCTTTACTATTTGTTTCTGAACATGCATCTAGGAAGATAGTAAGAACCCCCCCCCATGGTATCACAATATGAAATTTAAAAGTTTATGTTCAGGAAGAGTAAGGCTTGGCTTGCATAATGGCTTTTTTTTTTTCAGGCTGAAGAAGCAGAGCGAGAAGAACGGAAAAAACTTGAGTCAAAAAGAGAGGAGGAAAGGCGGAAAGAAGAGGAGAGAATACGTCTTGAGGAAGAACGACAGGTGGGATTGCTTGTGTTTATAGATGGAAATTTTGAACCAAGTTTGTCTTTGAGATTGCTTCTATGTAAGTTCTGTGATCAGCAGAACTCCCTTTGCTTTTCATTACTATTGCATACATTTTTTATTAGCCTTTTTTTTAATTTTTGCTCCATTTTGTTTGAGTTACAGTAATACTCAGTTATTTCAACTGTAGATCCCAGCTTTGTTCCCCCAAGTGCTTGGCAGGAATGAAAACTGCTCCAGACATCGGTACACACATCTAGCAGCAAGCACCCACCCACGGTCGAGTGTAGGGCAAAACGAAACCCAGCCTGCTGGTAGTGGATCTGCTACTGCTGTATGCCATAGCGTCAGATTGTTTGGTCAATTTGTTATGTTGACAAACACAGATGATAAAGTTGGCCCTTAGTTTGTCTGGGAGCTGTTTAAGTGCAGGTATATGAAGGAAGGAGCTGTACCTGGTTGCAAGAGAAATTTTGAGGGTTGCTTGCTTGGTATCTGACAGGAGAAGTTTGATTAGTACAGAATCATAGAATAATTTAGGTTGGAAGGGACCTCCAGAGACTATCTGATCTATCCGTCTGCTCAAACCACATCCAGTTAGAGCAGGTTGCTCGGGTCCTTGACCAGCCCAGCTTTAATGAAGTCTCTTAACGAAGGAGATTTCGCAATCTCACCTGGCCTCTGTTCCATTACACTCGTTAGTACTGCTTGTATGACAGCTGTAACCAGCGGGGCAGAAAATGAAAGACAACAGCAACCGATTTTGCAACTGTTATGTAAAATTGTATGATTTTATTCTAATTATACAAATTTACATGTGCTTCACAATTAAAGATTTCTAAACTATGCATACGAAGGTGTGTGTTAGCAGGAGTGACCCAGAAAAACAGGTACTGTGCACTTGAAATGCTTTTGTTGAATACTTTTCATCAGTGAGGGAGGCAAAGTTATTTCACAGCTGCTTTGTGTATTCTGGGCATCAGTGCTACTGGCTAAGAACTAGGAACGAGCTTCATGCTCTCTGGTGCTTGAGCAATTTGTGTGGTAGCTTTGCAACGTGCTTCTGGAGGCAAGAACCAAGGTGTTCTGCACAATCCTGTGCTGATTAATTGCCGTCCCAGGGGAGCGTACCCCCCAGCTTTCAGTGTCAATTTTTTGGGTTACTTAAATATGCATGGAAATTTGTGTCTCTGGTTTGTGGTGAGCAGATTTATTTTAATTTGTTCTAAGCACAGGTTGTGTAAGTGAATTGTGCTGCTCACAACATTTTAAAAGAGGAAAAGACAATGTTTTCTTTCATGTTGGGAGCATGAAGGCAGGATAAAGCAATTTTAAATTTTTTTTTCCCATACATTACACACACAGATTGTATCCATGAGATCTTTTGTGGAATGTACATTTACCTCTGGGGTTATCGCTCCCCAAAATCCTTTGTCTTCTGAACTCTCTCTTGTTTCCTTTTCATCAGTAGAAGGCTCCTGAATTTCAGAAATTGAAATGCATGAAGAGAGTGTCAGTACTACAACATCAGGATATGTAGCATAGCTCGAGACTTTGACTTGCAGAGCAACTTGAACAAACTTCCAGGGGACTGATTATTCCACAGCTGCCCTTCTGAGAAAGGTGTACAAATTTAGAAGTACCAGGTAGTGGTCAAAGCATGAACCCTGAGGTTGACTAACTGATCTCAACTAGTCTGAGCCGCTCCTGTGCTTAGCCAAGGTGTTTTGTAACAGCAGAACTATCAGACTTGCCTTCCTCTGGATCCCTGTCTATTGCTTTTCCCCTGCCCACACACTTCAGTAGCACTGGCTTCTGCCTTGTGGTCCCTGCAACCACTCTGCTTTTCTCCTAAGTATTGCCAATTTCTCCCTCTCGTGCTTTCAGCTCGGAGAGAGGCAAGATGAGCTCTGGCTGTCTGTAGAGGACATGTTTGCCATGGGGCTTGGCATAACACGTAACTCAGATGGCAATTTTCCCTCCAGTGGTGTATTCTTTTAAGTGTTTTGTCTCCACCCAATTCCCCAGTTTATTTATTTTTTAATTTTTTTTTTTTAAATATTTTTCCTAAGGTTCTGGGAAATTAATATCCTTGAAACCCTGAAGAGTTAGTTGAAATGAACCAAATTACTCCAATGCTTTGGGGGAATTAGAAGGACACACTGGCTGGACACTAGCATTGTTTGTGTGTCACTTCCTTTAGAGGAGGCTAATGAACAGGATTTCAGTTCCTTCCAGAGTGGTAGCCAGCACGGCAGGTGAATTGCTAAGCAAATTTCAGTTGAGCTTGGCCAGCCTGTTCAAAAGAAGCTGTAGCCCAGGCCGAAGATGTTATCCTGTTGATTGCCTATGGGTTTGACCTGGGGTTTAGCAATGTGGCTGGCTCATCAGGATCAGTCAGGCACGGTTGAAAAATGGAGTAGAAAATAAGAGTGAAATTCTAACTAGAGATTTCTTCACACAGAAGGTGCTTATTAACATATTTAACTTTTTTTTTTAAGTTCACTTCAGTTTAGGGCTGAGTAATTTATTTTGGTTGAATGAGGAAACTCTTATTTGTTTTTATCTTAATTTTCAATATTCCTAGTAAGGACTTCAGTAAAACACTTCCACCTCCATTTTGCAAGGTTCAGTGAAAAAAGAGGAATATAAACTACGGCTCTGATTTTTGGTTTGGTTTGTGTTTTAAATTTTTTGCACAGCAGTCTAAAGGAGTACTTACTAGAATTTTGAAAATTGCTCAGATGCCTGAATCTAGCTTGCTATTCACTTTAGCCAGTACCTTCTTTGGCTATTTAAATTCTGTGATTTTAACCTTTTTTTGGTTGATTGGTTTGTTTGTTTTTCCCAGTAGTCTTTTTCAAGGCAGCAAACCAACCCACCAGGCTACATCACGAATGTTATTCTGCTACTCAGAGGAAAATGTTTCAATGTTTTATTTTTTACTTAGGTGTAAGACAAGTTGATTATTCAGTAACGGCTGAACATTTTGAGCGTGGATCAAAGTCAATGTGTCTGACGATATTTAATGTCCATCCTCAACTGTTTCCTAGTAATTTTAAGTCTCTGTCTTCAGCCGAGTCTTTAACAGGAAACAGAATAATTCAAGACTTGTACACGTTCAGGCTGTGTTGCTTGAGTTCCTGCTTCAGTCAGCAAAGAAAGCAGTATTATAGGGAGCATGGTATTAACAAGACTTCAGTGTTTTAGTCTTGACTGGGTGATAGGAGGGGAAACAAATTGAATGAACAGATACTTGATTACTGTGCATGTAAGCATAGCCTGTCTGTATGATCATAACATCTTATCTTCCAAGTCTTGTTACAGGCTGATTGTATGAGGTAAAAGATACTGCTTCGCTCTTCTAGGCTCCTATAAGCGATAAGGAATCATTGGATTTATTGTGGTTTTTTATAGAATACATAGGATAAAATGTCATATATACATTCCTTTAGAGAAATGATTCTTCGTTTCCACAAGTAACGTTTTGTCAATACTGCTTTGCTCGTCTAGGCTCCTATAAGCGATAAAGGAATCATTGGATTTATTGTGGTTTTTTATAGAATACATAGGATAAAATGTCATATATACATTCCTTTAGAGAAAGGATTCTTCGTTTCCACAAGTAACGTTTTGTCACGAGTAAGCCCGTGTAGACTACACATATGATGATACTATTCCCCCATATAAGTTAGGAGATGGAAAGGCAAAATTATGAAAGGTAGCTCAGGTAGTGATTGATAGTCATGAGAGAAAAAACAGAGGGTAGCTGGTTGTGTGATTTTTGGAGGCAGTTTGGTTACTGACATTTCTGTAGTTTATGTAATCCCATAAGGCACAAGAAATTTAGAGTTTATCACTAAAGTTTGTCTGAGAAATGTTACATTTGTCAGAGTGTTTCATTTTTTCCCTTCCTTTTCCAGTATATCAGAGTATTTCTGCAGGTATAGTGACGGTGGCAAGTCTCCAAACAAGCGCAGCCAGCTTTGTTAGCTAAATTTCAGTTGAACCTTTTTTTCAACCTCTCTCCCAAGAAGTGCTACAAACATTGCGCTAACTTCTGTGAACATTGAGGTAGGCTTTGTGTAGAGTTTCCTTTCAGCGTTTCATCTACAGCCTTAAACTAATAGCTGAATCCTAGTCAACAGCAGTAAGTGATTCCGACGCCGTTAAATACCATCTAAAAGTCTGTCAGACCACGAGGGAAGCCAAATAGATTCAGGAGGATAGAAAATCATGTTGTGGCATGCAGATCTTCGAGAAATTCGCCAGTGTTGATCTTTGATAAAGTCATTGGGACTGTTAACCCTTTCATGCACACACCCTGCTCAAGTTTTTTGAGATATGGAATCTAGTGGAAATAATGAATTCCTGAGTCAGATGAAAACCCACTTTGTTTTATAAGCAAATGGGTTATCTCTCTCCAATTATTTTTGGGCAACTCTACACAGTGCTATACTACAAGTGGGAACTGTACCTTCAAGGGAATTATAGGGGCTAAAATCTTGCATATTCTTGAGAAAAATAACCCCCTGGTTCATTTTAAATATATTTGTATGCACATATAAATAAAATGTGGTTGCCCCTTGGCTCCAGTGTTGCAAACCAGATCATATATTTTTAAATTCAAGTTTCCTTTCCAGTGTTCTGATGACCTGATTGGCTATGCATGTGAGGAAGCTCCTTTATAATTGGCATTTGCATCAGCTCTGCTTTACCCTGGGGATTTCCCTTTCACTCTTGGAGTTTTTTAGTGGTGAGATGGTTTACCAACCGACACCTTATCAATGAGAGCGAACTTCCTCTGATGTTGCAAAACAGTGTCTTCATACAAAGCCTTGCAGATTGCTCGCACAAGAGCTTTTTTTTTTTCCTTTCCCCCTGTGCACAGGGATTTTTGTAGATTTTGCTCCCTCAGCCTAGCTTTGCCATGCTAAGGAAACTGCTTGTGTAGATGCAGGGCTTGCAGTGATTGCTTTTCTTTACTAAAATGCAGC